GAGAAAGAATTTTCGAATATTGGGCTTCCTTCTCCATTCAAAGATTTTAATTTGATAATTTAATATAATTTGAATTATAAAATAAAAAACTTTTAAAAAAATTTTTACTAAATATTCTACTTAAAATTTAAATATTTAAAAAATATATAACAATATTAATTATCATGTGACGGGAAAGTAAACTCTCTATTGTAGTTCTCAATTATACATCCTGTCGGGGAAAATTTCCATGGGCTTTCATTTTCATTACATTAGCTTAACTAAGTTCTCATCGTTGATAACTCCAATTCATAAAAATGAAAAAGTCAGTTCAAATAATTTCTGGCCCACCTAACCAACAATTTTCCTGGTAATTTTATCTTTTAGATCTAATTTGATTTTGTTCATACTTCTCGATTTTGATTTCATTCACACTAATTGTTTGATTTTACTTATACTACTTGATTCGTCATCATCTACAACCAATAATAAATTTGCTTGTCTTCTTTAGATGAAATAATGAGTTTATTGTATCATATTCTTTGGGAAGTTATTAGTTTTTTTGTTAATCTTTAGATTTAAAAATATCCTTCATTTAGTTGTACTAAATACATACATATATATATATATGTCTATCATTAATGAGTCGATGCAAATGCACAGAACTTAAAGTCACCAAGTCAAAATTTATGAATCTATGAGTTACCAAAATACCATGCCTATATGGTCATCCTAGACAAATGTGCAAATCTTATTCAAAATAATGCATAAAGACATAAACCAACTAATTTTTTCTGTTAAAGTGTTCTCATAAACCAAGTGATGCAAAAGCCCCAAATTTTCATTCGAGGCGAATAAGGTTTAATAGTTTGATGATATGCAAAAGTCCTTAGAATGATGAGATGCTTGCAATAGAACAAACCATAAACTTCAAATCATGCAAAAATGAATTACCAAAACATTAATGACTATAGAACATAAGTCTATATTAATGAACAATTATAGCAAACTGAGGAATTGTTTATAAAAGTGAAAACAGATGCAAACCCATGTATGACTAACTACAATTGTCATATGTAATGATGATTTGAAGAAAATAATAGCCAAAGTACATCTCATTGCCATTACAAACAAAAACTCCTCTTCCACTTATTCACTTGAATTTCTTGTCTAATTCTATCAAAATCTCGTATACTCAAAGCAACCAAAA